TTTGCTAATTGCTGCTGCTGACCTTGTGCTTTCTCCCCTGTAGGTGTTTCTTCTCTCCTGTGAAGAATCTGCTCCCCTATAGGAAGAAAAGGAGCTGGTGTAGAGCCGTGTTGCCTGCAGGGAGTGAAGGAAGGATGGACAGGTGCTGAGCTGAGGGAACGGGCTGGGAGAGGAGCCCTCTAGTGGTCCTTCACTTCTGGACTAGTAGGGAAGGAAAAGAACAGTTGAGACTGTGGAAATTAGTGTTCTATTTATCATGGAGAAATAAAGAAGCTTATTTGGAAGTACTACCTGTGCATGTTCCTTATTTAACACGAAGGCTGAAATCAGGCTAGCTAAATATTACCCCTGTTATCTGCTTGCAGGGCAAGGCACGTATTTGCATAACTTCTGCAGACAGGAGCTGCAGCCCAGCTGGAACTGTACCTGTGTGACTTGGCGAAAGTAGAGGGCACAACTGAGATGGGGTTGGCAGTGCTGCAGAAAGAGCAGGGGCTGGTAATAGGAGATGTCCTGCAGTGCTTTAGAAGTGTTCTGTTTGCACTGATAACCTCTTCCTGAAGAGCTGTTCTGACGAGCTAGGAAGGTGTGACTGTCTGGCGGTGTGACTGGGATGTTTGGCTGATCTTGCTTAGTGTGTTATGCAATGTTTTCAAGGTCATTAGCATCGAGTGGAGTTCAGGGCTGCTTTCTATTTACAGTTGTGGCAACAGAACAAGTCTCGTTATTACTGCCTGCATGCTGTCTTTGGGGGATTCTGGTTCTTGGATAACTCCGTATTCCTTATTACACAGCAGTGAAAGCGTAACACTTTGAAATACTTGACCCTTGAGTTTTCATGTCAGAATCAATCTGTAAACTGCTGAACACTGAGCAAGTTCTGGGCTTTGCTGGAGCTGTGAAGAAGTCCAGATGGAGATGCTTTAAGTTGGCAGTAGTGTTTGAAGGTGCTGGCCCTTTCAAATGTCAGAACCCAGATGCTTGGTAGTAGACTGTGTCCTGAGCTGCCCCTATCCTCACCCCGTGGTGCCTCGTGCTTTTTTGAGAGACAGCCATCCTCAGTTCTGCACGGCAGCTCTGGCTGCTGCTGCTTCCTGCTTGCTGCCTGAGTTCACTTGTTAGAGCCAGGACAGCCATGGAGCTGTGCAGAGGGCTGTGATGTGGAGCAGGGCTGTCCCATGGGTGGTGTGTGAGGGGAGCCATGCCTGCACCATCAGTTCCCATGGGGATGAGATGGGTGCCTGGCCCTTGCCTGCTAGTTCAGGGTAGTGTTTCCCCAGCTTCCCCAGTAAGGATTCATAGCAGGTAGCTGCAGCTTTTTTTTTTTCCTGACAGAAGAACAGGAAAAGTGAATTAATCTCTTTACTAAAAACCGAGGTCAAGACTTGTAAATGGGACAGGTGGCTCTGTTGTGAGAATCTGCCTTCCACCTCAGACACTTTTAATGTGAGTTTCTTTCTGTGCAGCCTGCAAATGACTACTGGCTGTGAGCCCTCTTGAAAGCTGCATCGTTGTTTCCAGATGGTGATGAGGCTTCCCTGCTGTGTGGGACAGTAACCTGAAATGCTGTGCAATGCTGCCCACCCTCTGAAGCAGACCCCCTCCTGGTTCAGTGGCTAAGCTGTGCCACCTTGCTGAGAACTTACAGACATCTCTGGTGAGGATGTAGCACTGCCTTTCACGTAGCTGCTTACTGGCAAATTCAGATGTGGTGTTTTCTGCTTTGCTCAAATTCATCTGCACCGCACATCACCCACAAGATCAAAACAGTCTGCAGAAACGGATGTGGTGAAGAAGGTTCAGAGGTATTTCCTTGGCAAGTTAGTGCTATAAAGAGAATGTATTGAGGTCTAGAGGGGAGGAGGTGTGCTTTACCTGTGTTTTGGGATAATCTGCAACTCTCATGCAGTGTGTTACCCTTTGCTGCTTCTTTAAGGGAGAATGTCTGTCCTTGGGATGATCACTGCTCACACACTGCTTGGTACCTTCTGTCCCAAACTCACATTTCTTCAGGTGAGCAGTGAGGATCAGGATGCAGCACTGCAGGTTCACCACCTCCTGGCAGTTGGCTGTAAGCAGAAAATGAGATCTGTGTGACTGCCCTGGATCCAGGGGCCCCACTGACACAGCAGGGAGCTGGGAGCTGCCTGGTCACAGTCAGCAAAGCTGAGGTCTCTGCATGGCCTTCTCAGCAGCACTCTGAGCTGCATTATTACAGGCCATGTCTGCTGGTACATGATGCTGGAAATGCTTCAGCTTATGAGGTGAGCTGAGTATTCTGATTTGGGAAAAACTATTCTGCTTTGTGAAATACCTATGTCCTTTAACTTAGTCTCCTTAAATCAGAGTAGGAAAAATCCCTGTCTCTTGCTATTTCCCTTCCAAGAACTTGTCCAGGTCACAAGGGGAAGGACTTAAATCTCAGCTGAGTCATTCTGGATGTTTTGGCCATGAACTCTCACCCAGTGTCACTACAGAGAAACTGCCAGGGCTGACCAACGTCAGCAGTCAGCACTGGGCATCCAGCTCAAATAGCAGAGGGAGCAAAAGCTTTGGACCACGTGCATCTGGCAGCTTCAGCAGTGAGTGCTTCAGGTCAGGCAAAGGCTGCCTGCCAAGTGTGGGAATGTCAGCACAGCCTGCTCGTTCCCTCCTCCCTGCTGCATATGCTTGCACTCTGAAGCTGAGGGCCAGGATTAGAGCAAGGGGAGCCCTCCCATAAACCTGGGAGCAGAGGTGCTGTGCTGGCAGCTGTCATTGCCCAGTGACTTTGCTGGTCTAAATGGAGCCAGAAAAGTCCCCAACTGGCAAGTTCCCCAGAGCTGCAAGGCTGGAAATGTGCAGTGAGGACAACCTGGGGCCATTCTACCACTCATGATCTTGGCTGCTGCTCAGTAACCAACCCCTTGCTTGGCCTCCCTTCTTTCAGGTAGCTTAACTCTGTGGCATGGCTTTCCTGTATGACTCATTGTGCAGGAGTTAAATGTGTCCATCATACATTTTTTTTTTTTTTAATAAATAAATAGATAAAGGACGCTGATGTGCTCTGGTGGAGCTCTCCTGCCCTACTCCCTGACCTCTGCACACTGCATATAGTTCCCTCTCCAGGGGGCTGCTGCCAGGCACTAAGAGCTGAATCAAAGCTGGTGTTTTCCCCACTTACATCACTGTGACAAACAGCACTTCCCAGAGGTAGTTGAGGTAACAAAATGCCAGTGGTGTTTGCTCCTGGGCACTCAGAGAGGGGCAGTGTTCTTAGCAGATGCTGTCCTAGTTTCAATTGCAAATTTCCCAGCAATGGGGAACTGTCCATGCAGATTCCTGAGCCTTCTGCAGCTGGATTCTGGGAGGAATAGTATGGAGCTTTACTAACAGCGTTCTGGGAGGTCTGGCTGACCTGTGTGATCTCAGCTGCTCTGAATCTCAATCTTTTCACAGCATGGATGATTCTGTCCCTTTGTTTGCCCTGCAGGCTCTCTGGGCTGTGATGGTGCCAGACTAAAGAAAGGAAGACACAGGGGCACAACAGAGAATGCAGGATGATGCAGCACCAGTTCTGGTTCTTATTTTGCCCACACCTGATAGAAGTGGCTATGCCTTAGTCCCTAAAACATCAAATTTAGGATAAAACTAGAGAGAATTCACTTTGTTCAGTAAGCACATATCATAGAATGGCCTGGGTTGAAAGGGCCCACGATGATCATCTAGTTTCACAGAGCAGTCTGCACTGCTTGTGCAGCGGCTGCATCTTCCACTGAGTTTCCAGATGTTGCCATACAGATGTTTCCCCAGCAGTGCTTGTAGGTGCTGTAGCGTCATCTCCTTTTCCTGTGGAAATGCCAAGATGTGCAGGTGAAATCCTGTCCCACAGCTTGGCTGCAGAGCACCTGAATGGTGGGAGCCAGTACTGACGCTGTTACAGGGAGTGATCTGCAGAGCTGTGCTGTGTCACAGTGCCATGGACAAATTGCCTTTCTCTACATTTCCCCTCCTCACACAGAGAAAGGTCCTGATAGCCGTGTGGGGTGCAGCAGGGTGTGTGTGGGCAGAGCTGTTCTCACTGCTCTGTTTATCTCACTTTTCCCACGAGGAACTGTGAAACCACAGAGCAGAGCGTAAGGCTGATTAGCAGTAGCCTCAGAGCTGGGGCTGGTGGTGCTGCAGCTCTCACTACTGGGCTGGCCTAAAACCTTGGTTTCCAGATCAAACATCTGAGTGTTCACATCCGTTTTAAGTGATGCCTCACTGTGCTGCACGTTGCAGTAGCTGCTATACCAGGCTATGGAAGATTCATCTTTCCCTTTTGGGTGGTACAGCACAGGTCTTGTGAGCACTCACATGTGAGCCTGCGGATGACTGTGACAAGGAGGGTTGTTTGGATTCCCCTGGGCCATGTTCCAAGGCACCAGGACAGTTCCCGTGCTAGCATTTGGTATTTCTGCTCTCAGGGAGGTGATTTAGAGTGCAGCATGTGTCTGGAGAGTCCCTGGAGCAAGCAGAACAAGCACAGAGAGCATGTTCCTGTAATTAAAAGCTTCTTATTAAAGGAAATTGCCCCCTTGCTCCAGCATTGGCACCCCTGCCCTGTGCCCTGCCCTGCCCTGTCGCCTCAGCCTTGTGCTGGAGGCAGCTTGGTTGGGAAGCTGGAGCAGATGGTGAAGCTTCATGAAGGAGCTTTGCCTCCTGCCCCCAGGGGCCGCGGCTGCCAGCTCGCAGGCTTTTCTCCTGCTTCTGAATGCAACAGGGAACAAACCAGGGTCCCTCTTTAGCTGAGAGGCCTGGAATGACCCCAAGCCACTGGGCAGACCCCAGCGTGGTGGTGCCTGCAGCCTCCTGTCCCCTGGATACGGTCTCAAGCAGTGACATGACATGGACAAAGCCATGCTGCAGGACGAGGCCGGCTCGTGCTGACAGCTATCGGTGGAGCTGTTTCACACCATTCTGCGCGCGCACTGTGCGGGCGGTACCTCTGCGCGAGGTGAAAAACAAGGGGCTGCCTCCTGTCTCTGCTGCCGGCAGGCATGGCGCTCACCCTCTCCTATGTGCTGCTCGCTTTCCTCACCCTGCTGCTCCTGTCCTGGGGTAAGTGCCTACTCTGTTCTCTCTCCCTGGTGGGAAGCACTTGGACTGTCCCACTTCAGCCCTTTCTCTGGTTTGGGTTTTTTTGGGGGTGAATGATGCTTTGAAACCATTACTTCCTCACACTGTTCGTGATCCCATTATGCCGGCTCTCTTCAGAACCTCCTGAAATCAAGGCAAAAAAGAGCAAACAGCTCCTGATATATTTTGAAAAAGTTTTTGGATGCTGAACAGAGAGATGGACAGAAATACCCAGTGGCGCTTAACGTGCAGGAGCTTGAGAACATCCGTTTGTTGGACATGATCTAGTGTGCTGATAGCCAAAAAGAATAAGACTGCAAGGTTGTGACAGTCCCTGGGGTGAAACGTTCCCTACTGCTTCCCCACTGCTTATTCATCTCTTGAAATCTTACCTTCTGCAGAGTCATTACTGTCTGGGCAGCGCACACAGCGCTGGGTAGGAGCTGTGCTCAGCAGTATTTCCTGTTGTTTCTGTGTGGGAATGCACAGGCCACAGTAACTGGGGAGGAGTCCTGAGGCTTTAGGGACTGCTGAGCATGCAGATGACTCCCAGGCTTCCTGTGGCTCTGTCTGGAGCTGGAGAGGGTTTTAGGGCTAGGAATCTTGGTCAGGGCATCCATGTGCCCTGTGAACCCTCGAAGAGATGAAGGCAGTAGGGGCAGCTGTCAGGCCTGCACCAAAGGGCACTTGCCCAATACCTGAAGCAATCACTATGGTGCAGAATGGAGTGAGTGTGACTGTTTCCTGTCCAGAAGCAGGAATTGGAGCTCAGGACAGATTTCCAGTTCTTGCTTTCTGTTTTAGGTTCAGGGACTCTCAAGAGTCAAGTGGTTCTTGTGACTGTAGGAGAGCCTGTGTCGATGGAGTGTCCTTTCCACAAGGACAACAGCACCAGCAATCCCTTCTATGAGATCCTCTGGAGCCATAGGAATGAGTCGAGAAGGGTCCTGCAATTTAGGATGACACGGTCTAATCAGTCCTGTGTGTATGACAGTGAAGGCCACTTCAGCGGCGTTCTGGATTTTGGAAGGAGCGTGAGCTTTCTCTACATCTCAGCAGTGCTTATGAATGACACTGGCCCTTACTTTTGCTATGTGAAGATAGGGCACAGCGATCCAACTAGAAAGATGATTTACCTGCTCATTGGAGGTGAGACTGGCTCTTTCTTTCAACACTGCACTTTTGCATCCCTGAGAATCTGTGGTCCTCTCTGGTCTTTGAGTGGTTTCACAAAGCCCCTGGGAAGTGTAAGAATTGTTGAATTGAGCTCAGTGGACAAGGGACCTGGCCACCCCCATGAACCTCTTTTCTTTGCAGGTCAGCAGCCCTGGGCAGCCCCTGGGGACCTCAGCTATTCTGCACCTCAAGGCAGTAAAGTCTCCTTGGACTGTGATTTCCCCGCTAACCTGACTGACAACTTCACAGACCTCTTCTGGCTGCACAAACGAGACCAGAGCCCACCCCGACTCATAGCATGGCATCTCAGGTCCAGTTTCCAGGTTGAGAACGGCAGCATTGGAAGTCGTTTCCAGAGCTCATTAGATCTGGAAAATCACCGGAGCCGTCTCACCATTACTGGGTTGGAAGAGAAGGACAGTGGCTGGTACCAGTGTCAGAGAGGCCTGGGAGAGCTTTCTGGTGGGCAGAGAGGGAGGGGAACCAACCTCACTGTGAAAGGTGAGCGTGTCTCCAGGGACCTCATGGAGCAAGTGAAAAGCCTTCTGTCCCTCCTGGCCTTTATGTTTCAGTCACTCCATCTAATCTATGGGTTTAGTGACAGGATGGGTGTGAGTTTTCTCATCTAGGACACATCTTACTGTGCAGGGTGCTTCTCATTCACCTTACCACCACCTGCTTGGGGAGTTTGGGGAGTGCAGGTAGGCAAGAACTGGAGCTCATCTGCAACACACTTGTACCTGCATTGCCTGAGGGGGCGGGCAGCCCAAAGTACAAGCTGCTGTTATGGTGCAGTGGCAAGGCTTTGCAAAGTCACAGAACATCAGTGCAAGATCCACAGATATATTTAAAGCACCTACAAAACCACAGAAGTTCATCTGTGAGGTTATGTGCTTGTTGCTGCAGATGGTTATCTGTAAAAGTTGTTGATCGCTGGTGATGTGACCCTTCCATCAACCAATTTCATCTGTACCTAATGACAACATAGATTTTTAATGCATGCAGTTTAGTATGCAAAGCATCTTTTATCCAGTGTAACTCGGTCGCAAAACCCAGCCTGGCCAATTAACACGGTTAATTACAATTACACAGTAATTTGGGCTCACCATGACTCACCTGGGAAATATATGATGTGAGGATAAAACATGACCCTGTCTTGAGTTGTAGGACATGCCATGTCTGTGTTGATTTGGAGCCAAAAGAAATGTGACTTATATTTCAGAAGACATTCTTAAAAGTCAGGCTGGTTCCTTGTGCTCTTCTTTCTGCATCCTCATGCTGAGGGAAGCACCCTGCATGACAGGATGGCACAGCCTGTCTGCTCCATGCTTTTAGCCTTTTTTCACAGGTTTTTCTTCAATGTCTTACTCATGTTTCTGAGCTGCAGAGGCCAGAGCCTGCTGCATTTTCACTGAAACCACGAACCCACTTGCAGGTTTGCACATCCCAGTAGATATTACAATATGAATATGTACAAGCTTGCGTTCTCCTTTCTAGGCTCTTCATCTGTCCTGCTGGTGTGTTTGCGTAGCGCTGTGTTTGCTGTGATTGCTCCGTGCTTGTATGTTCTGTGTAAGTAATACTGGGCAAGGAACACATCTTCACCCAGACAACACCTCACACCTTGCAGTGGCAGTGGTCAGCTCTGCGAGAACATTGGCTCATCAGCAGCATGGCCTGGTCCAATCCCTCATCTGATTTATGTTGCCCTCTGCTGACACCTCACTGCATCCCCTGTGGTCTCAGCCAGGTGTGATGCACTGGGAACAGCTGTGACTCATCTGAGTGGCACTACATGAGGTCACTGCTCTCCCGTGCTGTCACTGGGAGGAGTGCAGCAGGAGGCTGAAGGCTTCTCCAAGTCCTGGTAAAAAGTCTTCTGGCAGTTAGCTTGATGCAGGATTGAGCCAAAGGAAATACCTTTGGACTATAAGAAGGAGTAAAGCGGACCTTTATAGTGGGGAAAAAACTGTCAGAAGAAAAACCTTTGTGATCTAGATCTGTGAGCAGAGACTGCAGTATAACTCATTTGTGCTATTTCAGTATGGGCTGCTCCTGCAGAGCTGTGTATCCTCTCTGCACTGTTTCAGACAGGTATTATGTCCAGCTGAGGAGACGGAACACCTTGGCAGACAGACTGCATCCCCACTGTGGGCCTTTGGAGACCATCTACATCAGCACTGGCAGCACGGAGTACAGCGTGAGTGTGGCCCCAGGCACCACAGAGCTCTGGAGGCAGCCAGGCAAAGCCCAGGGATTGCTGATTCCCCACTGCAGTGGTACAGGAGCTGGTGGCCAGGAGCCCTGGGGAAGAAGCTGTGGCCATGCTCCTGCCTCGCATGTAGGACAGCAGCAGATGTGGGGCTCCTCTGCTGCCATGGGGTAACCAAGGCTGTTTTGTTTGTTCACAGCTCCTCACTTTCCCAGGAAGGAACCCTGCAGCAGGGGACGAGGGACAAAGATGACAGCCCAGAAGGGCCCAGCAGGACGCATGCTGTGTTCATGGCACCATGGATAATTCTTCTCCATTGTGTATCATGCAAAGGTCTCTAGCAAACTCCTCTCTCCTTCAGTGGTTGTTTCTTCTGTTCAATTAAATCCTCTTGAGAACAAACCCTGTGAGTGTATGTTCAATTTCTGCTGTACCTGGCTGTTTTGGCTCCTGGTGGAGCTGGCTTTTGGCTGCTGTGTATCTATCCTAGCTCAGACAAACTTTTGCATCACCCTCTAGGGCTGTTACCACCTGCCAGACACAGCCACATCCTCCCACGGAGGAAACGCTCGGCTGCTTTTTGGGGTGGAGCAATGCCTACACGGCAGCTTTTCTTGCTGAAGGAGGGAGGGAGAGGTGCTGTTGTCTCTGCTCTTACCGTTGTTCCCTCAAGAATGCAAAATTCTGGAGCAGGGAATAAAGCGCCAATTCTCACTGTCCTTGCCAAACCAGGGCTGCTTGGGCAGCTGTGGTGCTGCATCAGTCAGCACCTCTGGGCTGAGCTAATGCATGGCACAAGGCACAAGAGGTGAAGGCCTTCCAAAACAAGCCTCTATTGTTGTGACCTTTGTTTTGTGATCAAATCTCTCTGTGGTTGATGAAATCACATCAAGATGGTTGTGCTGGTTTTGTGTAAGGTGGTATTTGTGTTTCCTCTGCCACCTCACAATTTTCTCTGATATGTGCTGGCTGTGGCAGAGCACCACAGCACTCTGTGCTTATGCTGATGAGGCTGCTGCTCTCATCAGGGTGTTTCATAACCAGTTGGGTATTTCTGTTCCTCATGGGATGCATCCAGAAAAACCCTGCCTCCACTTCACTTTGGAGTACCCTGCTGCCTCCTGTGCTGCAGACACACCATGCTTTCAGGTGGTCATGTTACAGTTGCTCTGAGGAGCATTGGCCATCACTTTTCACTCTTGTTTTTCTCTCACTTCTCCCCGGGGAGACTGTGTCACAGAAAATTGGTCAAGGTCACATAGAGGGAAGTCATTGCTTTTGTTAGACCAACTGATATAGAAGGTGGAAAAAATAGATAAGCCGTTGGGCACGTGAGCCCTTGTTGAAAGCAATGCAGCGTGTCACCATAGTGTCTGGTTTGTTGTGCCATACCTGTCCATCTCTGGACCAAAGATGCAATGCCAGGGTGACCTAACAAGACAGGACCCTGTCCCAAATCTCATGGCTCCGTTTTCCCTCACAGCCAGAGAACACCTACAGCCATGTTGGGAACTCGTAATCATCTCTTGGGTTTGGAGACACCTTGAGAGCTGGGCTGCAGAGTCTGCTTGCACTGTGGTGGTGTTAGACAGGTGGGCCTTCATGCCTGTTGACTCTGGCAGCTTTTTGCTTTTCCAATCTGCAGTCTTTCTGCACTGGGCACCAATTGTGCTGCAGCCAGAGCCCCCAAAACCACGTTCCTCTGGTAGGCTGATGAGGTTTCAGTGGTAACCTCACTCTGTACCCTATTGTTGGGGCAGGCTGTATGTCCAAGGATGTGACTTGGAAGTGAAGGTGGAAATGCTGGACCTTCGCCCCACTGATTAGAGCCCCACTGCTAAAGCTCTGTTGCAGCAAATGGAACAATGTGGTGAGCTGGAGTCCCCCAGCCCCTTGTGTCATTTACATATGCCTCACCAGCACCAGAAGCACACACAGTAACCCGGGCTTGTGCAGCACTGCAGTCTGTCTTAAAACAACCTCCCTTCCTCTGCTCCTGGATCCTACCATGGTCCTGGGTTTCATGCTCCTGCTGCTGGTGGGGACAGCAGGGTCAGGTAAGATCAGCAGCATAGCTGCGCTGACACTGGGGATGGCGGGCAGGACTGAGCTTTGCACAGGGGATCATCAGCCAAGAAAGGCAGTTTGTTTCAAGCATGGAGTGACCGGCGGGTCTGGGCAATGGGGATGCCCCATGGGGGTAGAGGAATGTTTTGAGGCTTGGGGTGTCAGGACACAGCTCTGTATCAGTAACCACATCCTTGGTGTGCACAGCCTGCAGGGCCCAGCCGGTGCTGACCCAGCCAGCTGCCGTGCAGGTGCTGCCTGGGGAGACTGCCCGGCTGTCCTGTATCCTCAGCCCCCAGTACAACATCAGCGACTTTGGCATCACCTGGTACCAGCAGCGCCCAGGGCAGGCCCTAAGGTACCTGCTCTACTACAACTCCGAGCGAGACAAGCACAAGCCTGCCAGGATTCCTGACCGTTTCTCTGCTACCAAAGACCTTGCCCGCAACGCCTGCATCCTCATCATTGCAGCCGCCCAGGAGGAAGACAACGGTCGCTATTTCTGCTCATTGCCCCTCACCACCAACTGGCTGTAGAAGCAGGGAGCAAATATGGTGCGATGCTGCCAGCAGACAGAACGGCAGCTGTGGAAAGAAGGGACAAGGCCCCCCTGCCGGCTGAGGCTCTGGCGTAGTTTAATAATGATAATAAATGTAATAAGTACAATAAATGTAATAAAGATTTGTCCTCGCACGCTCTTTAGTCTCTAGATAGCCTCAAACCTCACGCCGCCATTTTGCCGCGCCTCACGCACCCCCCCCCCCCCGCCGCCATTTTGTCGCTCCCTTCTCCCTCTCACAGAACCCTGCACTCCCCTCACGGTTCCCCACCGCTTCTGAGGAAAAAAGGACGCGTATAATTGCGCGGGCATTGCTGGGCGCTTTGTACGAACGTTGCCACGCACGGGGGTACTGCGTTTTCCACAAAATTCTCACAGATAACTCACAGCGCGAGCAGAACAACCCCACATCGCTTCGCGCCCAACCCGACGTCCACGGCCGCGCCTCCGCACTACGCATGCGCAGCACAGCCGGGCGCACTGGGAGTGGCTTTGGGGGCGGGGCCAGAGGTGTACGGAGGTATCACGTGGGGCAAATCGAGAGCTGCCATTGGCCTAGAGGAGGAGAAAATGAGGCGTGCTACTTCCTGGCTACTGTAGTGCGCGTCGAGGTAACGGGTCGGTCGGGTCTCTGTGGTGGAGCAGGATGGTGAGCTGTGGCCTTGGAGCCGCTTTCTCGCCCTGCTGGGCTGGCGCGGTGGCTCCGGACTTTCAGTGGTGTTTGGTGTGGTGCTCGCTATCCCTTGGTGTCACTGGGTGGTGAATTCCCTCAGCTGGGCGGTGAGAGCCCGTGGGTGTGTCCTATTAGGAGTAGGCTGGGGCTGCAGCGCGGGCTCTTTGCGTGTGTTGAGGGTGATTCCCTGGAAGATAATTCTGGTAGAAAGCCCTGCTGCCTCTGTAACAGTTGCTGGAAATGTCAGACGCATCGGAGCTGCTGACTGGCTTCGTATTATTGAGTGATGTGGTTAAAACTCTCTCTTTCCTCGTGCTGTGTGTGAAGCTGGTGTTAGTACTAGGAGACCTGCACATCCCACACCGATGCAGTGGTCTGCCAGCAAAGTTCAAGAGCCTCCTAGTTCCAGGGAAGATTCAGCATATTTTGTGCACGGGAAACCTCTGCACCAAGGAGACCTATGACTACCTCAGGACTTTGGCTGGGGACATTCATGTTGTTAAGGGGGACTCTGAGGTAATGTTCTTGCTGTTCATTCCTCTGTCCTCCATCTTGCAAGCTGTAGTTGTCCCACTGAAACCTGGGAAGTCCTTTGCATGAATTGCATTTGCAATTCCTGAGCACTAAGGTGTGGGGCTAGGAAGTAGAAATAAATAAGGCTCAAGAAACAAAATGCCTTTCTAGGCTTTTCTTATTGCACTTATGGTAAGGGAGGACTTGGTGTGTAGTGGTGATAATGCACTCAACTTCTCAAGTTCTGCATGAGTCTACTTATGATTGCTGTGATGTTGCTGCAGTCCTTCAGATTCCTGCAGGAATAGGGAGCTTCTTTATTGTTGAATAGCCTTGAAGCTCCTGCTCTCCACTCCTGCTTTCCATGTGGTTCCAGTCAGGCTCAAGATCCAAGTTCTTTACAGTTGTTCTTCTTAGGATATGGTGCAAGCATCTGGGTCACTGTACAATCTTGGTAGTAAAAGGCATTCTTGTGTTGTGAACCTTCATTGTGTTGGTGAGGTTCTTTCTCTGATTTCTAACTTGTGTATTTCTCTTTCTCAGAGTCTGAATTATCCTGAACAGAAGGTTGTAACTGTTGGGCAGTTCAGAATTGGGTTGATTCATGGCCATCAAGTCATTCCCTGGGGTGATGTGGCAAGCTTGGCATTGCTACGGAGGCAGCTGGATGTAGACATTCTTATCTCAGGACACACACACAGATTTGAAGCATTTGAGCATGAAAATAAGTTCTACATCAACCCGGGATCAGCGACAGGAGCCTACACTGCTTTAGAAACGTGAGTGCAGTGAGCCTTGAACTACCCAGTGCAGCTTAGCTTAATACATTGCCTCAGATGTGTGTGTCTGCCCTTAAGAGTGCAGCCCACGTGTTGCAGAGCACTGGTGATGCAGTGCTGTGCAGGCCATTTCTCCCTTTCCCAGAGAATGCAGCCTTGCTCCCTCTGTTCATAAGGTTTTGGTTAGCTCATGAGCTGGCCAGGACAGTCTGGCATTGATGTGTCATGATCATAATCCTAAACCCATACAATGGTGTGATGCTGTTGTTTCTTAGAGTTGCATTGCCTTCAAGTGTTTTCCAGAAGCTGTGTGCTGAAGTCTTGGGAAAGAGCCCCTCAGGGCACTGCCAGCATCTGAGCCTTGCAGGAGCTGGGACATTCAGCCTTGAGGGCTGCTCTGGCCAACTGCAGCTCTGAGTCTGCAGACAGTGCCTCTGAGCTGTGGTACTTCCCAGATAACTGCAGCCCTTTGCAATTTAATGTTTTATAATCCCATAATACAACTTGGTAAGAGGTGTAAGCTAAAAAGGATGATCGACAAAGTATTTTTTTTTCCAGGAATGTCATTCCTTCATTTGTACTGATGGATATCCAGTCTTCCACAGTTGTGACTTATGTATACCAGCTAATTGAGGACGATGTGAAAGTAGAAAGAATTGAGTTCAAGAAATACTGATACGTGTTTGAATCTGCTTGCTGACTTCTCACCAGCTCTCATTCGTTGTCTTCTAGTTAAAGCTGATTCCGGCCACGTGGGGGTGCTGCTGCAGCGGCGTGTTGGCTTGTAAATCGGCAGCCACGTGAGCTTGTGAAGTTTCTAAATAGGGTTAGGGCAGGAGAAACTGATTGAGAGAAATGGCCTTATAAAATAAATACATATCCTATATTTAAGAAGGAGGTCTGTTGTTCCTTGCCTTGCAGAGTTGCAGCTAGTGGTTGCTTGGGATTGAACCTCTGTAAAATGAGCATAGAATAAAACAGTATTTTCATGTTTCTGGATCCTATTAATTTATTAATTGAGAAGAGGACAGGAATTCAGTTTTGGGGCTGGAAGGGAGCTGCTCTTTTCTTCCCAACGTGTACCACTGAAACCTCTCTGGATTTATCAGAGATGCTCAGTGGACTCTTAATAGTGCTGACTGTGGCACCTGACCTCCTGCTGCTTCCAGCCTCCCTTCCTGGCTGGTATGCTTGTGTTGAAGAGCTGTGGGAGGCTGGTGCAGTGCTGTGGGTGAGGCTAGGCCAGCTAAATAGCCTGGGAACTGGCCAGGGGGCTTGGTGGGAGGAGCAGGGCTGGGGAATGATGTGAATAGCAGGTTGTGCCACTGCTGTTGTGAGGAAGAAGGCAGCTTCTGCAAATGCTTTGCAATGTAGGATGGCAAAGTGCTCCTGCTAGCCCTAGGCCCTTGCTCATGGCTGTGGTGGTGCTTAACAGTACCAGAGTGCAGAGAAATGGACATGCCTACCTGCTCTGGTAGTAGCAGTGACTATGGCTGGTACCAGCAGAAGTCACCTGGCAGTGCCCCTGTCACTGTGATCTATCTAAACACCAAGAGACCTTCAGGTACCTCTTTATACTTTTCTGGTTCCTCATCTGACTTTGTTAACATGTTAACTGGGGTCTGAGCCAAGGATGAGAATGTGGGATGGGTGACTGGGATGGGTGCTGTTTAGTCAGTGCTGCCTGCACCAGGGAACTGGAGAAGAGTGAGGGGAGAAAATAGCGCTCAGTGAGTGCCTGATACACAGAGCCTACACTAGGCAGTGGGTTAAGACTGCTGAGCCCACAGGCCATCTGGTACTATGGCTGGTTCCAGCAGAAGACCCCTGGCAGTGCCTCTGTCACTGTGATCTATGCTGACACCAACAGACCTACAGCTTCATGAGCACACTAATCATCACTGGGGTCCAAGCTGAGGACAAGCTGTCTATTACTGTGGCAGCAGGGACAGCAGTGGTAAGCCTGGTGCAGTGGTACAGGGAGATGTCAGAACATGAACAGGGATTAAGAATGGAGGCTTTGTGCCCTTTTCAGTCATGGCTGGGCTGTACAATGAGATGAGTTCCTCTCCCCTCTATGAAGCACTGTCTGTGAACAGTCTCCCTGTTGTGTGTTGTGGTGCATGAGGAGATTCTGAGGACAGGGGACACTTCTGTCTGTACCTGTAAAGGTCCAAAGTTCTTGGCTGTGTACAATAAATCTGCCCAGGGCACCTGAGCTGTGGGCAAGTCCTGCCAGGAGAGGGACCAGGCCACGGTACAATCCTAATGGCTCTGTGTCCCCATGCCAGTGGGGCTGTGCTGCAGACCATCACACCCCCTTAAACCTCCTAAGTTTTATCTCTCTCTTCCAATTAATCATTGTCAGCATACAGCACTAGTGCTGTCATCCCAGTTCCCACAGCAATGGACAGCTTCATCATCAGCTTGGATCCCAGTGATGGTTAATGTGCTTGTGTAGCCAGATGTGGAACTGGTGAATCATGATGGGATGCTTGAGGGTCTGTTGTTGTTGTAATAAATCACAGTGACAGGGACACTGCCAGGTGACTTCTGCTGGACCCAGCCACAGTAGCCACTAACACCAGAGCAGGTGATCTTGATGGTTTCTCCTGGGTTTGCTGACACTGAGGCTGGCTGAGTCAGTGCTGCCTGCACCAAGGAACATAGAGAGAGAAAAGAGTGGGGAGAAAGTGGAGCTCAGTGAGTGTGTGACACACAGCCCTCAGCATATGGCAGTGGGATAACACTTCTGAGCTTGCAGTCCCAAATGGAACCTCAGGACTCCCTCATCTGCTCCAGTATTAGCAACATCTATGGCTGCTCTGAGCAGCAGACTCCTGGCAGTGTCATTGTTGCTCTGATACTGGAGACCAGCAAGAGACTCTCAGACATTGCTTCATACTTCTCCTGTTCCAAATCCTGTGCCATGCACAAATTAACTGTTGTCAATATTCAAACCAAGGGTGAGACTGTCTGTTCCTGTTGTGCCTGGGACAGCACCAGCAATCCTGGTATGGTAATAAGGGGAGATGTGGGGGGAAAAAAAGGTAGATATAGGGGTTAAAAATGGAGGATTTCTGCCCATCTGTCTCACAGCCAAGCTGGGCTGTACAACTGAGGTGGGTTCCTGTCCACTCTGCGAAGCACTTGCTGTGAATGGCCTCCCTCTTGTACCTTGTCATGCAGGAGGAGATTCTGGGGACAGAAAGCACTTCTCTTTGTCTCTGCGAAGTCACAGTACCATGTCATGCAGTTTTTGCTGTTACTGCTAGCACTTCCATCCTCCTGCTTCTGAAGAGACATGATGTAAGTGGTCTCTTCTGCAATGGTGGTGTTCCTCATCCCATGGCTACCAGGTGAGGACTGTCAGGCACTTGCTGAGCTCTGTTTTCTCTCCTCTCCTTCTCCAGGTTCCCTGGTGCAGGCAGCACTGACTCAGTCTGCCTCAGTGTCAGCAAACCTAGGAGAAACTGTCAAGATCACCTGCTCTGGTAGTAGCAACAACTATGGCTGGTACCAGCAGAAGTCACCTGGCAGTGCCCTTGTCACTGTGATCTATCAAAGCACCAAGAGACCTTCAGGTACCTCTTCATACTTTTCTGGTTCCTCATCTGACTTTGTTAACATGTTAACTGGGGTCTGAGCCAAGGATGAGAATGTGGGATGGGTGCTGTTTGGTCAATGATGCCTGCACCAAAGAACTGGAGAGGAGTGAGAGGAGAAAATGAAGCTCAGTGAGTGCCTGATACACAGAGCCTACACTAGGCAGTGGGTTAAGACTGCTGAGCCCACAGGCCATCTGGTATCCTCTATGAAGCACTGTCTGTGAAGAGTCTCCCTGTTGTGTGCTGTGGTGCATGAGGAGATTCTGAGGACAAGGGACACTTCTGTCTGTACCTGTAAAGGTCCAAAGTCCCTGGGTGTGTACAATAAATCTGCCCAGGGCACCTGAGCTGTGGGCAAGTCCTGCCAGGAGAGGGACCAGGCCATGGTACAATCCCAATGGCTCTGTGTCCCCATGCCAATGGGGCTGTGCTGCAGACCATCACACCCCCTTAAACCTCCTAAGTTTTATCTCTCTCTTCCATTTAATCATTGTCAGCATACAGCACTAGTGCTGTCATCCCAGTTCCCACAGTAATAGACAGCTTCGTCCTCAGCTTGGATCCCCTCATCAGGCACTTGCTGAGTTCCGTTTTTTCCCCTTTCTCCTCTCCTTCTCCAGGTTCCCTGGTGCAGGCAGCACTGACTCAGTCTGCCTCAGTGTCAGCAAACCTAGGAGAAACTGTCAAGATCACCTGCTCTGGGAGTAGCAATGACTATGGCTGGTACCAGCAGAAGTCACCTAGCAGTGCCCCTGTCACTGTGATCTATCAGAACACCAAGAGACCTTCAGGTACCTCTTTATACTTTTCTGGTTCCTCATCTGACTTTGTTAACATGTTAACTGGGGTCTGAGCCACGGATGAGAATGTGGGATGGGTGACTGGGATGGGTGCTGTTTAGTCAGTTGATGCCAGCACCAAAGAACTGGAGAGGAGTGAGAGGAGAAAATGGAGCTCAGTGAGTGCCTGATACACAGAGCCTACACTAGGCAGTGGGTTAAGACTGCTGAGCCCACAGGCCATCTGGTACTATGGCTGGTTCCAGCAGAAGACCCCTGGCAGTGCCTCTGTCACTGTGATCTATGCTGACACCAACAGACCTACTAACACCTGGGACAGCTTCCCACCTTTCTCCATCTCTGGTGCAGCTTCATGAGCACACTAACCATCACTGGGGTCCAAGCTGAGGACGAGCTGTCTATTACTGTGGCAGCAGGGACAGCAGTGGTAAGCCTGGTGCAGTGGTACAGGGAGATGTCAAGAAAACATGTACAGGAGTTAAAAATTGAGGTTTTGTGCCCTTTTCTGTCATGGCTGAGCTGGGCTGTACAATGAGATGAGTTCCTGTCCCCTCTATGAAGCATCATCTTTGAACAGTTTCCCTGTTGTGTACTGTGGTGCATGAGGAGATTCTGGGGCCAGAAGGCACTTCTCCCTGTCTCTGAGAAGTTGCCACACCGTGTCATCCCCAGCCCTGTTCCATGTTACACTGTTTGCCCTGTCCTCCTGATGCTGAAGCTGCCTCCGTGCTGGGATGCCCTGGGCTGGGCTCTGATCCTCTATAATGGCTATGGTCTCTTCTCTTCTGATGGTGGTATTCTTCATTCCACTGCTATGCAGGGAGAGCTGTGTGAGTTGGGCACTCACTGAGTACTGTTTTTCCCCTCTCCAGGTTCCCTGGTGCAGGCAGCACTGACTCAGCCGGCCTCGGTGTTAGCAAACCTAGGAGAAACCGTCAAGATCACCTGCTCCGGGGGTGGCAGCTGGAGTGGCAGGCACCTGTGGTAGGAGGCATTGGGGCTGGGAACAGTGCAGTGCTGTGCCTTTGCAGGAACAGGGATAATGAGGCACTGGACCCAGAATTGATTACTAATTGACAAGGTTCAGTAAGGGAGGATATTTATATGTACAGCCTGGCAGAAAGGACTGGATCCTGCCTCAGCAAGGGCAAAAGGCTTGCTTTTGAATTGCAGTCTGTGTGTTACCCCCACATCTCCCCATATCATTATACCAGCACTAGTGCTGCTGTCCCAAGCACCACAGTAATAGACAGCCTCATCCTCAGCTTGGACCCCAGTGATGGTTAATGTGTTTGTGGTGCCGGATAGGGAACCGGAGAATCGTGAAGGGATGTTTGAGGGTCTCTTGGTGTTATCGTAGATCACAGTGACAGGGGCACTGCCAGGAGACTTCTGCTGGTACCAGCCATAATAGCTGCTGCTACTCCCGGAGCAGGTGATCTTGACGGTTTCTCCTGGGTTTGCTGTCACTGAGGCCAGCTGAGTCACTGCTGCCTCCACCAGGGAACCTGGGGTGGGGAGAAAATAGGGCTCACTGAGTGTGTGACACACAGCCCTCAGCATACGGCAGTGGGACTGAGCCCCACGCCTGAAGTCCCCAGCTGCATGCAGTAAGTCTGCACTGTTCCCCTTAGCTGTGGGCAAGTACTTTCAGGAGAGGGACCCAGGCAATGGTGTGATCCCAGCAGCTGTGTATCCCCACACCAATGGAGCTGTGCTGCAGACCATCGCTGCCTCTTAAACACCGAACTGCCCACAGCACAGCCTCTCCATGCAAAGCTGGCCCTCATAGTATGTGGCAACTCCCATTGCAGTGCTCCCACTACGCTCATTTTCTTGGCCTGTAGAATGCCAGTCATGGATAGCTGTCACTGGGTTTGAAGCAGAGGAGTAGTGACACAGAGAGGTGGGGGACAGAGTTACAGACCTTAGTTAAAAGTGGAGGCTTTCTTCACTTGCTGACTTAGTAGGGCTGGGGCTGAGGCAGATTTCTGTCCTCTTCACATGGCCATGTTTGAAAGCATTCTCCTCAGTGTGTGTAGATATATGTGATGTTACTTTGGGTCTTGAGCCAAACTGTACCTTCTTACAAAGGTACAGCACTATGTTATTCCCAGCCTTGCTCCATGTTGTTGCTGTGAGCCCCATTCTCCTGCTGGAGCTGTCTTTGTTCTGGGATGCTCTGGTCTGGGCTCTCATCCTCCAATGTACTGGTGGCCATGGCTGAGGTTTCTTCTCCTTCAATGGTGTTCTCTTTCCCACTATTGTATGTAGAGAGCTGTCCATGTTGGGCACTGACTGAGCATCATTTTTCTCTCCTGTCCCTCTCCAGGTTCCCTGGTGCAGGCAGCAGTGACTCAGCCAGCCTCGGTGTCAGCGAACCCAGGAGAAACTGTCAAGATCACCTGCTCCGGGGGTAGTAGCAGCTGGTATGACTGGTATCAGCAGAAATCACCTGGCAGTACCCCTGTCACTGTGATCTATGATAACACCAACAGACCCTCGAACATCCCTTCACGATTCTCCGGTTCCCAATCCGGCTCCACGGGCACATTAACCATCACTGGGGTCCAACCCGAGGACGAGGCTGTCTATTACTGTGGTGCCTACGACGGCAGCAATGCTGGTATAGTGAAATGGGGAGATGAGGTGGTGAACTGATATACAGAGCTAAAAATAACGGATTTCTGCCCTTCTCCATTATGACTTTTATTGAGATTTTTTCTCTTCCTGTGGTGGTGTTCCCTGGTTTTCCTGGGGTTAGAAGGAGCGGAAGGCACTGCAGGTGTCTTGCTGGGAGAGCTGGCACTAGCAAGGATAGTGAATGCCCAACATGGAAGAGAGGGACACAGCTATGGCCATTTTTGATGAGAGGTATCCAAAGCAGAGCAGCACATCCCAGTGCCTCAGCTATCTCCTGTGCCCTGCGGCATGAAAGAGAGTGCATTCATAGCCATGGCCATGTGGAGGTAAGAATAACAAGCTTACTGCAGTAATTCTGCGCATGGAAGAGGAAGAAGGACAGAAAATCTTCGTACAGTTCTCTCTCTCTCCTCCAATTAATCATTGTCACCATACAGCACTACTGCTGCTGTCCCAGTTCCCACAGTAATAGACAGCCTCATCCTCAGCTTGGACCCCAGTGGCTGTGGAGCTGGATTTGGAACCGGAGAATCGTGAAGGGATGTTCGAGGGTCTGTTGGTGTTGCTATAGATCACAGTGACAGGGGCACTGCCAGGTGACTTCTGCTGGTACCAGCCATAATAATATTTTCCAGCAGAGCTGCTACTACCCCCGGAGCAGGTGATCTTGACGGTTTCTCCTGGGTTCGCTGACACCGAGGGCGGCTGAGTCAGCGCTGCCTGCACCAGGGTACCTGGAGAGGGAGAGGAGAGAAAATGGAGCTCAGTGAATGCCCATCACATGCAGCCCTTCTCTGTCATGGCTGAGCTGGGCTGCTGTTCTCTCTGCAAAGCACTGTGGGTGAAAGGCATGAAAGTGAGAACATTCAGAGCCATGACCACGGGTACGTTCCTATTCCCTCCCTACAGCCTCAGCGCTGCATGGCTAAAGCACTGTGCCATCGCAAGCGCCACTCCCTGATCCTGGAGTGGCATGGCTGTGGCTGAGGTCCCCTCTCCACTAGTGCTGTTCCCTGTTCCCTTGCTGCCCAGTGAGGGCTGTGTGTGGGGGGCACTTGCTGAGCCCCATTTTCTCCCCTCTCTCCTTTCTCTTTCCAGGTTCCATGGTGCAGGCAGTGCTGACTCAGCTAGCCTTGATGTCAGCAAACCTGGGTGTAACTATTGAGATCACCTGCTCTGGGAGTAGTGGCTGTGGCAGTTAAGGGAGCACCAGCAGAAGACATCCGGCAACACTCCTTTCTCTGTGATCTACCTCAACACCAGCAGACCCTCGAACATCCCTCCACAATTCTACAGTTCCAATTTGAGCTCCACAATTTGAGCTAGTGGTGTTAACTGGCACTAGGGTCCAAGCTGAGGACAAGGCTGTCTATTACTGCAGGAATGAAGACAGCAGCGGTACTGGTACACAGTGACAGAGAGCAATGGAGATGTGACATACAAACCTATAAGTGCTGGGAACATTTGGCACTGACACCATGTCTGCTCCTGGATTAACAACTATTATGGCTGGTACCAGCAGAAGTCACCTGGCAGTGCCCCTGTCACTGTGATCTATGCTAACACCAACAGACCCTCGAACATCCCTTCACGATTCTCCGGTTCCAAATCCGGCTCCACAGCCACATTAACCATCACTGGGGTCCAGGCTGAAGACGAGGCTGTCTATTACTGTGGAAGCCAGGACAGCAGCAGTACTGCTGGTAGTAACACAGGCAGATGTGAAACTGAAGTACAGCCCTGAATTAAAAATTTGTTTTCTGCCTTTCTCCCTCAGGATCATGCTGGGCAATGCCACCCAGGCAAGTTTCTCTCTGCAGAGCCCTGGCCTTGAACATTTTTCCTGTTCTACCTCATTGTATGGGAGGTTACTTTCCCAGTTATGCTGGAGAAACCATAAAGATCATTTCCTCCAGTGCTAGCAGTGGCTATGGTTATGGCTGGTACCAGTAGGTAATCTCAGGCAGAGTCTCTGTCACTGTGTGGTATAGCAACAGCAGGAGAACCTCAGGCATCCCTCCATGACTCTGTTTATGCATCTAACTTCAAGAGCAAGTTAACTGCTACTGATGCTGAAACCAAGGATGAGGCTGTTTAGTATGTGTGAGCTACACACAGCAGTGATGCTGGTGTAGTGACGCAGGGAAGCGTAGCTGTGATGTCTACTTCTGCAGTGCCCTAAGGCATGAAAGTGAGAACATTCAGAGCCATGACCACAGGCATGTTCCTGTTCCCACCCTACAACCTCAGCTCTGCGTGGCTAAAGCACAGAATGTCAGAAAACCAGCAAGGAATAGGGCTGGGCACAGTGCATGCCAACCCCTCGTGGGGACAGCTACAGCTGGAGTTCAATCATAGTGAAGTGGAGTTGAACCAGAGTTGTCACCAGAGGCATTCCCCAGGGCTCCCCTTTGTTTAGTGTAACATTACAAACAATACAGCTAGGCATCAAACTGTACTGATCTTCCTGAGGGTAAGAAGGCCTTGTAGACAGATCAGGATAGGTAAGATCGATGGGCTTTGCCAAACCCCTTGTCGTTCAAGAAGGCTAAGTGGCAGGGCCTGCACTTAGGCCATAACAACCCAACGCAGCAGCGTGGGCAGAAGAGGTGGTTTATTGAAGGGGCATGTTATAAGAGGCTGAGGGCTCAGTTTTGTGATCATGAAGATATCTTCCACTCAAAATGGCTGTAGGATAAGGACAAGGTACTCTGGCCTTAGAATCACTTGCAACAAAAAATAGAGCAGGGAGCACATAAACAACTGTGGCCATATTAGGGGACAGGCATCTGCCTTAGTCCCCTTAGTCTGATCAGCCATAAGAGAGAACGACAAAAAACCTTTGTTTATTGCTGTGATCCCTGCCTCACTTCCATATCACTATAGCAGCAGGAATGCTGCTGTCCTTGCTCCCACAGTAATAGACAGCCTCATGCTCAGCTTGGCCCCCAGTGATGGTTAATGTGGCTGTGAAGCTGGAGAATCGTGATGGGATGCTTGAGAGTCTACCGGTGTTACCATAGATCACAGTGACAAGGGCACTGCCAGGTGACTTCTGCTGGTACCAGCCATAAGCACTGTTAATCCCAGAGCAGGTGATCTTGACAGTTTCCCCTGGGTTCGCTGACCTTGACTCCAGCTGAATCAGTGCTGCCTGAACCAGGGAGCCTGGAGGGGGAGAAAACAGGGCTTAGCAAGAGCCTGACACACAACAGCGCCAGAAGATGGCACTGATCCCCAAGGCAATGAGACCATGCATGTTAAAGAGGTTCTTTTTTCTCTCCTGCTTCCTCTCAGCCTGGCTCTAGGGTCTCCTCTCCTTCCTACTGCTCTCCTTCAACCTGTACATCAGGTCCCAGGGCTTCCCTGCATTTCTGCTCTTGCAGGCATTGCCTGGGGCCCTGCATCAAGACCGGGGATTGGTCACTCTGGGAGCAGCCATGAGTATGGCTGGTTCCAGGAGAAACCTGTAGTGGTGCTGTGACTGTGATCCACAGTGACACCAACAGACCCTCCAAAATCCCTTCACAATTCTCCTGTTCCACCCTCCAGTGCCGCCACCACCATAACCAGCACTGCTGTCGTAGCTCCCACAGTAATAGACAGCCTCGTCCTCGGCTTGGACCCCAGTGATGGTTAATGTGTGTGTGGAGCCAGATTTGGAACCGGAGAATCGTGAAGGGATGTTCGAGGGTCTTTCATCATCCCAATAGATCACAGTGACAGGGGCACTGCCAGGTGACTTCTGCTGGAACCAGCCATAGCTGCCACTACCCCCGGTGCAGGTGATCTTGACAGTTTCTCCTGGGTTTGCTGACACTGAGGCCGGCTGAGTCAGTGCTGCCTGTACCAGAGAACCTGAAAAGGGAGTGGAGAGAGAAAAAAAAAACTGGTTCATTGGTTGCCTGACATACACAGCCCTCCCCGTAAAGCAGTGAGTATGCCCAGGTCACCTGAACTGTTGGCAACCACCACAAGGAGAAGGGCCTACACCATGGTGTTACTCCAACAGTTGTGCCTCTTAGCCCCCCACCCTTCTACAGAACAGCCTCCCAGTGCAAAGCTGGCACCCATGGACGCTGGCCACCCCCCTCCCATGCTCCCTCTGCCTCCTGAAAGCATTTTCCTTGATCCCAGAAGACCAATCATGATTAGCCATTACTGGGGTCTAAAATGAGCACAAGCATATGTACTACTTTGGTGGCTTGGGAAACAGCACTGGTGCTGGTAGAATGGCACAGGGAGATGGGAAACTGAGTTATTGACATGAGTTCAAAATGGAAGCTTTCTGTACTTACTGACTTATGGCTGACCAGGGCTGTGGGGCTGAGGCAGGTTTCTGTCCTCTCTGCATGGCCGTGTTTGTAGATGTCCTCTTCTCCGTACCTAGATGTATGGGAGATTATTCTGGCACTTAACCACATTGTACTTGTCCCTGCCAAGGCACAGCACTATGTCAACCCCAGCCCTGTTCCCTGTTGCTGCTGTGAGCCCTTGCATCCTGCTGGAGCTGCCTCTGTGCTGAGAGGCTCCAGGCTGGGCTCTCACCCTCCAACATACCCATTGGCATGGACCCTTCTCTGATGACAGCACTCCCTCTGCCGCTGTTTCTTGGGGGAGGGCTGTGCAAATGGTGCACTTGTGAGTCCCATTTTCTCCCCTCTCCTTCTCCATGTTCCCTCGTGCAGGCAGCACGACTCAACCAGACTTGGTATCAGCAAATCTGGCAGAAACTGTCAGGAGAACCTGCTTTGGGGATAGCTATGATTGTGGCTAGTACCAGCAGAAGTCACCTGGCAGTGCCCCTGTCACTGTGATCTATAACAACAACAACAGACCCTCAAACATCCCTTCACGATTCTCCGGTTCCACATCCGGCTCCACAGCCACATTAACCATCACTGGGGTCCAAGCCGAGGACGAGGCTGTCTATTACTGTGGGGGCTACGACAGCAGCAGTAATCCTGGTATGATAAGGAGATATGTGGGGGAAAAAAAAAGGTAGATACAGGGGTTGAAAAATTGAGGCTTTCTGCCTATCTGTCTCAGAGCCAAGCTGGGATGTACAGCTGAAGCAGGTTCCTGACCCCTCTGCAAAGCACTGTCTGCACATGGCCTTTGTCTTGTAACTTGTGGTGCAGGAGAAGATTCAGGGTATAGAAAACACATCTTTCTGGCCCTGCAAAGACACAGCACTGTGTCATGCCCAGACCATGCTTGCTGTTACTTCTGGCAGTTCCATCCTCCTGCTTCTGAAGAGGCATGGATGTCTGTGAGGTCTCTTCTGCAATGGTGGTGTGCCTCATCCCACTGCTGCCAGGCAAGGTCTGTGTCAGGCACTTGCTGAGCCCCATTTTCTCCCCTCTCTCCTCTCCCTCTCCAGGTTCCCTGGTGCAGGCAGCACTGACTCAGCCGGTCTCAGTGTCAGCAAACCTGGGAGAAACTGTCAAGATCACCTGCTCTGGGAGTAGCTATGCTTATGGCTGGTTCCAGCAGAAGTCACCTGGCAGTGCCCCTGTCACTGTGATCTATTACAACGACAAGAGACCCTCGAACATCCCTTCACGATTCTCCGGTTCCAAATCCGGCTCCACGGGCACATTAACCATCACTGGGGTCCAAGCCGAGGACGAGGCTGTCTATTACTGTGGGAGTGCAGACAGCAGCGGTACTGGTACCATAGTGACTCAGAAGTGGTACATGAACCTCCTTCAGTGCAAGGAACAGTTAATGCTCTTAACTGTCTCTGTCTAAGAAGTCCCACCTCCATCTCTGCC